CTTTATTGCTGCGGACACTGACTGGACCTCATCAGTACTGTCTGTGCCCTCCGGGATGCTGGCACAGCAAACAGCAGGGAGGCTTCGGCAAGCTCTGGAAGTGGACAAAACCCGTACGGTTTGTTGCACACTAAATCGCCAAAAAAAGGATAACAGGATGTATAATGCGTATTTACAGTCACCCACTCTTTCAGCACGTGTTCCACTGCAAGAGAATCCAGCATCTGCTGTTTAAGTTGGTAACTGTCAGTGTTCACATTTGGCACAGAGGTAACTTTGCATCTGTGGACTGCAGGGAAACCGGAGAGATCCCAGATGTGAAAAACATGCACTTATGGGAAGGAATCGCACGTTCCACCTTGGATTATCAAGAGCCTTGTGCACTTACAGAAGGAAAACACACAATTACAGCTTAAAAAAAATGCCACAAACATTTTGTAAATAAAACAGACTTCATTGCTCTTAGAAATAATACTGTGTCAGTTCCAACTTCGGCTGAAGCCTGCTGGGCACGGACTGGAAGGTAAGAACGTGTAGCATGCCGCTTCTGAACATGCTAGGAGGCCGAGTGAAGAGTCCTCGCAAAGGAATGCAGCAAATAAAGGTAAGACATATGGACACATATGCAGGAACAGGAACACAGTCTAGGAGACTGAGGCAATTCCAATACTATGCTCACAATGATGTGCTGCTGTTAGCAGGATGGAAGTCATCTGACAGCAGCTGCAGTGTAGGAATTAGTCGTCGATAGTTGGCAACCAGAAGGCCTACAAAAGAGGAACGAATGAACACCTGTTACAGAGCAGAACACAAATCTCTCCTACGGCACACTGCAGGAGCTGATCACTGTAAGTACTCTACCTTCTTTAAGTACACAGGCAGAGACTACTGAAGAGGCAGCAACACCCTCCCAGCAGTTTAAGGTTACAATCCTTGCTTACACTGGTTTGGTTTGTTCTCCAGAGCAAGCCAGCCTTACACAAACTGAAAATACCAGCTGTGTGCAGTAACCTAAAGAACTCGTACTCTGCATGTGCATTCCCTCACTGCTCTGCTTTCACGTGTGTGATCAAACGCTGGCTTGCCAGGTGTGCTGCCCCACATATCTACCTGCCAGGCAAGGCACAATCAAGGCACAACAGACAAGGGCCTGGCTCTCACCAAAGCCCAAGGAAATGCCCAACAGCAGCACTAAGCCTTCTCAGATTCATTTCCAAAAGGGTCAGCAACTCATTGAGCTAGGAGGGACTTAAAACACTGTCCTTACCATATTGGAACATGCGCTAGCAAAAGTCATGAATTTTGGATTGAACTGCAGACAGGTTATAGGACCTGTATGTTTCCCATCCAGCACAGCCACCTTCATCCCACTTTCCCCATTCCAAACATGAATCTTCCCATCCTCCGAACCTGCAAGCAGGAGTGGAAAAGGGGACATGCAATATGCATTGGAGAGGCCAGCAGAGAAAATGAAGTACATAACCTTTTCTGTCAGAGAATGGTAGGAACAAGCATGCCTCATCTTCATAGCTTAACCTTTAAAATTCCTAAAGTATCACCAGGGCATTTATAAAACATCACTGGATTTTACTGGATCTCCCTGTATCCAAACAGCAAGTTTATATCTTTGCACTGCAGAGACTCAACTACGCAACCCAGTGCAACGCTATTCTGGCAAAGGGGTTAACAGCTACGGTCACCCAGCAGAAAAGAAGAATTGACACCATTCAACTAAGGAGGAAAGACCCCTGCCAACTTGCACTGATGTGCGAGAGGCCAAAAGCTGGGTGAGAGTCACTGTTCACACAAGTTCTCAGTTCAGACACAGATAAATATTTCACTTGGTAGGCAGAGGATCAAATCAAAAGCTTCACCACTGAAGGTAACCAGGTTTCAATGCACTATGCCAAATACCAGAAGCTTCACTGGAGATGTCAACTCTCCACACTGCTACAACAGGACAGGTTTTTCATTTTAAAATGGTATTTTGCAAACTCTGAGGCTGGGCACTTAACATTTTTATAATTCAGTTCTGCTTTAGTCTCATTTTAAATAGGATTCCTCATAAAAATGCACAGATTTTTTTTCTGCTTCTGTATTTTGGAACTTCTTCCACTATAGTTTTCATTTGGAAGGGCACAACAGGAAGGTAAATATGTACAATAAAGTGCTCTCAAGAAACAGACTAAACAAAGAACAGCTCACCCCCTGCCCAGTTTTCTCTGCAATCAGGAAGTTCTCAGAACAACAAAAAAGAAGTTTTGCCAAGACCATCACTCATCCAGGGAAAATGAGGATTGGGATACCGATTACCACTAAGTTCAACATATTTGATATGCCAGCCATATAAATAAGGAGGTGACTTGGGCCAGAGGAATCATACTGGGAGCCATCAGGCTGATGCCTACTGCTTCTATCAAGGGTTAAGCAGAGCTTCTTCCACAGACATGGGGATTTACAAGAGCTACATGAACAAAACGCAGCTGCCACAGCATGTCACCAGTACAGGAATGTCCCTGAGAGGTGTACAAACGCACCAGGCGATGAGACCAATTGCCTAAGTACAGACAAGTGCCTTGCTCATCAGGCAATGGAGGGCAGGCCACAACATACAGCTCCGAATTGCTTTGAGGCAGCACATGAGAGCGTCCTGGCCACAGGGTGAGGATCATTGACATGTGACAGGTCTCCACACATTATAAGTTTGCTGGTTTCTTATCTTTTTTTGGAATAGCATTCATATATAAAGGAAAAAATAAGTCGTCTTGCAGGCTAGTTTACATTTCAGTCTAGAAAATGCTGAGTAAACTAACAAAGAGAAAACTGTCAATGCAAAAAAAGCTTACAGCTGCACTGTATTATTTAAATACATTCCGCTTCCCAACAGACACTGCTTCAGTCCTACGTAACAGACCTAATTTCAGAGCACTGAAATTCTTTCCAAGAAGAATTAGCTTACCTATCATGATGAACTGAGAGTCTGGTGTGAATGATGCCTCCAGCGTGACAGCCTTACTATTGTTATAACCCTACAGCACAAAACAGGAGAATATGTACTAGAGAGCATGTTCACAGTAATCTTGCAACCAAAGGGCACCTGCTCCCGAAACTAACACCAGGTCTCAAGCACGTAACACAGGCAACATGCTCACCCCAAATGTATGCAGGATAGCTCCTTTAAAGGCATCAATCAGTCGAATGAACCCTCCGTTAGTTGATATGAGGATGAGTTTGCCATCGTTACTGAACTTCAAGCCTGTCCACTCACACGTTCGATCATACTGCATCTTAAACGTAGCAAATGGCCCCTTCAAGGAAAAAATGGGAAATACGATGTACAGTCTGCATGCATTGCTGCTAACAAGAGTCTGCTTTTAACCTTAGCTCAGGAATAAGTTTAAGACTTCTCAAAACAACATCTTTAGTCCCAAGATACCAAAGGAAAGTGTCATTGCAAAAACATGTCACTGCATGTATAAGTTTCAAAGAAGTATGAACCCAAAGTTTCCATAGCAAAAAAGAGCCACACAGTAGGGTGTTTCAATACACAACAGTCCCATACTCTACCACACTCAACAGCAGAAATTTAAGGTAGGATGAAGTTTTCAAATAAGGCCTTTAATTGAAGTTAGAGAAAGAGCTTGAGCCAGTGTTATCGTCATCTGACTTTCTGAAAACCATGGAACTAACTATGCTCAGTGCTTGACTGGTTCAGCTGCCCACCCAATTAGTTTCCTTGGAAATTTCCATCCTTCCTGACAATCCTGGCTCCATCTTTGCCAGTATTCTTCCAGAATAAGCAGCAAGGAAAAAACAAACAAACAAAATACCAAAACCCAGTAATGACAAAAAGCCTAAACAGGAGTTTGGAACAGGTTAAGGAGTTAGCAGAAGTAAACTTTAACAGAGGTTCAAGAGTGGATTTCAGGATTTGGTGACAGCATGTACGCCCCTGAGATTCATACTTACTGAAAATTCTCTAGGTGCCCAGTAGGCATCCTAGATAGTAAGCTGGAGTAAAGAAATCCAGCCTTTGAGCACTCAGTTTAGACTATTTCTCGCAAGCTAAAAAGTTTAAGAAGTGAAGTTAAGTGAAGTTAGCTCACCTTGTCAAAAGAACGGAGATCATAAAGTTTCACCATTTCAGAATTGACTCCAGCAGCAAAAATCAACCCTTCTGGGTCAAAAGAACACACAGGCTTTCCCTGGAGATGCATTAAACCCTAGAAAATAGAAGTAGTCCAAATTATTTTGTGAAACTGATGCTCACACTTCTACCACCACCCTTTGAGCCCGCTCTGAGGAGGACAGCAGCCTACAGGTGGAATAACTGAATTACAATTGTAAATATTGAGGTTTTACAAAGGTTCAGAACTCAAGCTTTTCACAAGCAACTCTGACTACTTCAGGTCATCATACAGAGCTTGTAGTTTGCTGCAATGACAAAGTTTACATTAGAACAAATCAAAAACCCATTCCAGCTGCCATCCACTCAAAACGTACCCAGAGAGGGGAGGATGATATGGCTGTTTTAATAACCGTACCAACAGCACCACAAAACACTGCTGCTGGGATTGATAGCAACACTCTGCCAGTGACAGCTGCGAAGGAAGGGAAAAAAATTATTTTGAAAGCAAGCAGAAAGACCTCCAGCGAACACCACTGCTGAGCTTTCCATCCCTGTTTAATGAAAACCCGTACCTTCTGGAAGCAAACAGACCTTACATATTAAAACCGACAGATAACTATCAATGCTTATTTTTAATGTTAACTTTTCTTTAACCTACATAGTAGAAAAGACCTGAGAAAATTTAGTAAAAGCCAACAAGATATAGAATTTTCTGTATCCTGACTGGCAGGTCTGCGCGTGTTCACCAAATGCCTTTAATGTAACTGTATGCACATAAACAAGAAAACATCTTTGATTAAATCAACAATACATTTAAGAAGTTTCTGCATTTCTGAAATACCATTCTTCTCTAGAGAAGTCTAGAGACTTTACTACTTCTCTCTTCTTTCCAATTTAGGTCAGTTTTCCCTGTGGTCTCTGAAGGCGAGGCAGTAAGCTAGGCAATACTGAGGGCTCCTGCAAGTGGGACATCTCTGGTTTCCCGGTAATATATCTAGGCACTACGGCTGCCACCGCATGGGCAAATTGAAAATTACAAGTAACACTTCCTCAAGCCGTTTCCTAACCTGCTGGATGCAGCTTCCAGTTACACGTCCTAGTTTTACCATTCTTAAACTTCAGGCATTAGCAAAAATCTCACAGAACTGCTACTGAAATTACAACACTATCTCATCGGCAGCAACTTTGAGATTGAGATTAATCCCAAGTGAAGTTTACGAAAAGGCATTAAAGGCATACTCCGAAAGGCAAAATTAAGATTTCTTGTCAGAAAAAGCTTGGTTTTAAGATAGATAAAACTATTTCATAAGAAACATAACCTTTTCTTCCTTTTGCATTTACAGGTACATAATCTGGAATAAGTAAATAGCCCTCTCTCATAAGCAAAATGGTCCGCATGAGATAGAAAAATATGAGAGCACAACACTGTATGTCCAGATATAGGAACAAACCAGCTCATCATGGATAAAAGGCAGAGATTCTACTCCTAGTCTTTCATTCCTGCCCCTGCTGCCAGCTCTAGTACTTTTTTCAGCCCACACAAGCCTGCTTCCACAAAAAAAAAGTACAGTAAACTATTCCAGGAAAATAAATAAATAAAAACCACCAGGGTTTTGCCTTGCTAGAAAGTTAAATCTGCTCACGAACAGGTCTGATGAACAACAAAGGTTATGTGAGGAGGGGGAAGACCATATGGCTCGTGTGATACTTTAGATGATCAGTTTTTTCATCAAATTTAATTGCATCAAAGCACCAATTTTAAACACAAACACATTATAAACACTCAGATAAAATGCATCTCCCAATGCCCCTTCTGCTGCCATTTCCAACCCAGGAGAGACACCAGCGAAAAGAGAACACTCTCTGCATGGGGTAACAGCCTGATGAAGAGGCTGATGACACCCAGTTCTTCTCTTGTTTCATCAGCTGAGGGTGTTATTTCTTGCTCTTCCCAGCACCTCTCCAGCACAGACACAGGTGAAAGTGAATGGCATTACACAATGCGACACACATATTTCACAGAGATTTGTGATCCAGGCTCCCTCAGCATTCCAGGAAGCTGTCAACACTAAATCAGCAGCACACATTTCTGGCAGTATTTTTGTTTTATAACAAGCACGCATCCATTTTTCATCCTTCTAACTAAAAATGCAACAAACTACGTACATGGATTTGTTATCCTACCTGGCAATTTGGAGAGCGAAGATCCCAAAGTCTAATAGTTTTATCAAGAGATCCAGAAATAAAAGTATCATCCACTGGAGACATTGAAAGAGCAACCACTCTGCAACACAGAAAACCACACGCATCAGAGACACATAAAAAAAGTGAAATTTTTGCACAACTATCCTGAGTTGTGCACTCGTAATTGCCATGAACAGTTCTACAAAGTGAAAACCAGAGTGAATTGAGTGTAACATAACTCAACCGCATTACAATCATTATTTCAATTTCTCCTGTACTGTCTCCAAGCCACATCTTACCTTTTTGTATGTCCTGGGAAATACCGAATGTATTTGTTGTCATGTAGGGAGAGGTATCGGATTGTATCTGAAAACACAAACAAACCATAAGCTTTATTATAATGAACCCAACGTTATCTAGAAGTGGTCACACAGTAAACTTGCTCCCCACAGCAATAGCAATTTTGCCACAGAGTCTGGTTATTCGATTTCGAGACTTTGAAATAGAATCAAGTTAGAAGCAGACATAAAACAACTCGGTTTCCAAGGCAGAACTGGAAATCAGGCACCAGGAAAAGATGCTTCCCCCAGTCTGAAGTCATATTACAGCTTAAAGGCAAACTGTCACGTGATTTATGCAAGTCAATTTCAAAGCTGCTAAAATTTAAGTGCCAGTAGATTTTATTCCATCATTCTCACAAAACTGAGCATCCACTCTTTACCAAGTTGATACTATCCCCCCCCCCTTTTTTTTTTTTCTCTACACAATGAATCTTGCTGTCTTACCAATGCACACATCCAGCAAATAAGTATCCACCTAAACAGCAAGCATAGGAAATGTGCAAATTATAGCATTTGGCCAAAAAGAAGGTAAAAACATGAACTTCAAAGCCAGGACAAGACCATTAAAAAGTAGCTAATCTCTCCTTTTTTCAATCTGACAATCAACAGCTTCACAAATTCTCTGCACTTAGAACAGCTAAGCTTTAAGAACAGGTCAGAGCAGTAATATAAAGCTTAGTCCACTTAAAGCAATCTTAAAAAAATATATTGAATAAATGAGAGCAGCATCACAACATTTCTCAAGTGGTAAATTTATTCTGAGTTAGATGAACATACCAAGAATAGCTCAGAATTTTGGGAGATGCTGTTGAGACTTTCTCCCAAGATTAAAGGAAATCCTTGTAAGAGGAAACAATTATTAAAGCACAGGAGCCACTTTTTAATATTTATGTGCAGATCAATCTGAGCAATGAAATGTGAAGAGCACAAGTGAAACCTCTGCTATTGGAAAGCAGCATCAGCAAAATCCCTTCTCACACTAGTTAGAGGACATCAGTTTAAGCTGTTGCTGGATGGAAGAGATTGGCACCTGCACCGTACAGTGCCAAGAGGCTCCATACTGCTGTAACACCAAGTTCTGCTGATGCTCTAACATTAAACTGAGGGAAAAGGACATTTTTACTTTTGAATCGGAAGAACAAGAGCCAACGGGATGCAATATGCACAGAGCATTTTAACACTCATAAAGGCTACTGTGTTCAGAGCTTTTTGAAAGGTTCATTCAACAAAACTACTTTCTTTGAAAAAAATTACCAAGTTACCATTTTTGCCTGTGATTTCACATCAAGCTGAGATCAGAGTTCTAGACCACCCTCCAGTATCTGACAAGAAAATAAAAGCTGACCCATCAAACTGGAAACATGATGCTGGTGACACACCACTCTGAAAGACTCTAAGTGACCTGAGGTGACTATACAAAATATAAATCCCCAACACCACTGTCACACCCCATCACGCCCGGAACCAATACGCTTCAAGCACGCTGTTAAGACACATCTCTAGTTTTTCCTGCAAGAACTGTTGTTACCTGATTTCCGAAGTATTCACGCAGAATTTCATCTTCCTTTGCTAACGACGGAACTGTAATCCTTTGTGATCCTTTTTGTTGGCAGCGCTCTGTCCCAGGCAAGGCAGTGGCCTGTACAGTTATCTCCTGTACCGGGTGGTATCATAGACCCTCAAACTGTACAAACTACTACCTCAGCCTGGAATCAGGCAAGAGGAACTAGGTTCAAAGGTCTTGAGGAAATCTTCAGAAGTGGATTGGAAGCAACTCAACACATAAAATGCCTGGGAGCAGGCGCCAGCACTCCCATAACACATTCCTGTGTTTATTTTCCCTCCCGATAACTGCGTAACAGGTTAAATACCATGCACCTTGCCCAAGACTGCGTGCATTAGGGACCACAGAGTATCTGGACCCCTACAGAAAACAATGCTGGTTTTATTAAGCTTACGGTTCGTAACAGCAACAAATACTTTTACACTCTTATATTTTTCTTTTAATCAAGTTTTTATCATAATGCTACCCTGCAGGATGAAGACTCTTAAGTTTTGTTTCCTCAAAAGCTTATTAGTGCTTATAAACAAAAACTCACAACGGCATTAAAAATGCTTCATTAAATTGTTAATTAATTGTAAATTAAATAACAGCCAAGTCAGAAATGTGACATAACAAAGTAATAACAATAATAATTTAAAAAAAGGCTGTGAAACAGACTAAAAAGGCAAGTGCTTCCCCTCATGCTTTTAATCCCTTTACACCATTAAATCCCATTCTGTTGGAAAGGTCCTTGTTCCTCTAGTTTCAGGCCCAGCTTGTTCTAGCTTAACCTGCCTTCCTAGCTTGCAACTTCCACCTGCTCTAAATTCTTACTCTTTTAAATTCTGTAAGTAACCTAGCACACACCACAAGGTACCAGTACCTCTACTGTCAAGTTCCATCTCTGCAAAGTAAAAAACAAACCAAAACCGCTATTCCAGAAATGCCCAAGTTTACAAATACAAATGTTAAAACCCATTTATAAGGTGCTGCGCTAAGAGACTAGTTCACCAAAAAACTCTCAGACACTGACCACAATAAACAAAATTGAGACAAAATTTGAAATTAACACTAGCTGTTTCCAACCTTAGGAATTATTGCCTGCTAGAAGAATTAATGTACTTATCTGTGCCAGTTCTTAAATTTGAATTTTAAATCAAACTCAAATACATTAACAGACAGCCTGTCACAAAGCTCTAGAAGCCCTTCAATGTCATCGATTTACAGACTGTAGCTATCACAGACACTGACTGTGGAGAAATGGCATGAAAATGGGCTTTTTGTCTATTACATGGAAAAAACAGATTAACAGAAGCAAAGCTAATCTCAGAAGAGCTGTGACCTCCTCCAGGCTTGGCTGGTGATCTGCTGAGTTACCTGAATTTCCTGCCCTCCCTGCTGCGTATGGAGAATGGAAAAACATTCCCTTCCTTTGCAGCTGACTTGTGTGCGCACCAGACAGAGACAGGGCGTTTAGCCCACCTTCCGGCCACATTCCCCTTCTACCTCATTTCACGCGCAAGAAATTAAGGCACAGAGGCTGACTTTGGTGTCAAACACCAAAGTGAACAGCAGAATCAAGAACGGCACTTTCATCACACTAACAATGTTTAATCCCTTTAGTTATTGCAGCAATGAACAAAACTCATGTCAGCATGCTCAAGGGAATATCACTGAGCTGTGCACTAGAGTTGAACATTAATTCCTCTGACAGTGTGTTTATCACTGAAAATTTGCTATAATTTTTTCCCAGCTCTTGAGAGCTATTTATGCAGGAATGTAGTTTTAATGTAAGGAGATTAAATATGCTCAACTCCAGTGGACCACTTACCATCTATTTTGTTGGAGCTGTACACGACAGTGTTGGCAGCATGTGTGTACCTGATGAGATCCACTCCATACTTCTTACTGTACAGTGTTCTCTTTGGTCTGTCAGAAGGAAACAGAAATAATTGCACTCACTGCAACCAAAAGCTCAAACCGAAACCCACCACGTTAACAAGGCCTGTTTTCACTGAGATATTACAAGACTGTTCAAGTAGTCAGATGCTTTATACAAAGAAAGAAAAGCTTTTGTATTGGATTTTCAAACAGGCACCCTTGTGCTTTCTCCAATACCATCCCTAGGCTTGAGGAGTTCCCTCTAACACCCGTAAAACGCACTTATTTGTCTCCTGCAAACATTGTTTTTCCCACGATGTCTACTGTAAAAAGAACAAGAGGAGCTAGTATAACGAGCCCTGAATGTCAAGCAGCACTGCCCCATCATTCCCAGGCCCAGCCAAATCTCTAATTCATCTGCTGCTTATTTAAAAATTGAGAATAATTTGTCTTTTTGTTCTATGTTACTTCAAAACGTAGAACTGGGTGTCTCATTCAGAACAGGGCTTCTCAGTATTAACACAGCCGCATATATATATACCAGAAGTCTACAAAAGCAATGGTAACACAGGGACTCTCAAACTACTGGAGAATTATACTCATATCCAATCTTAATTAAAGCACGGAACTCAAATGTAACATTTTGCAACAGAATTAAAGACATTCTAGTGAAAGTGAAGACAACATACAGAACGGGATTTTTAGGGGTCCGGTAAGCAAGTGATGTACTGTGAAATTCAAACTGCAAAGTAAACTCTGAAGTAGCTGGTTAGTAGGTGCATCTTGCAGCAGCAGCAGCAGCACGTGTTTAAGCAGTGCGAGGTCTCCACCACCCTCCTTCCCCTTTCTTCCTCAACTGAGGTAGCACGGAGGTTTCAAAGCTGGGCAGTCAACCAACAGGGGTACCAATCAACACCAGAAATAATACCACCTCTTCCAAGAGTTATTTTTAAGCCAGAAATTCATAACTCTGGTTATTACACAGGCCCACAAAATATGTTACCAACACAAACCAAAGACCATAGCAGGGGAATGGAAACAAACAGCAGGAGTGGTTCAAACCAATACTGCTGCCAAGAGAGAAGTTTATCAGACTACACCCTCAGACAAGGTATTTCTAAAACGCTTGACTTCTTCCTTGTTTTCAGTAGCTCCAAATTGACACGCCCCAACAAGAGCATGAGTTGGAGACTTTTCATACCAGAACAAAAAGAGACATTCATTCTTAAAGATTAATTCCCAAACAGCAGAAGCCATAGGGCTTTGACTTCAAACAAACTTGCTGGGGACAAGCTTCCATTAACCGAAAGCCAATACAGCAAGTGTAATAAAAACCCATATACCACCTGTACCACTTAGACAAAATCTCAACAGATTCTTCCTCAGTTCCTCTGGTAGATTTCAAAATCAGTTTTCAATGCAAACACGCTACAAACCGGAAACAACACATCATATGCACAACAAAATTAATGGGGGGAAAAAAAACCCAACAATTTTTGCTACTTTTACATGGAGAAAAGTTTTAACATTCAAGCCATTTGATGAAGCAGGGTATCTTATACTGAAATCCAGCAAGCAGGATGTTTCCTCCTGGCCATTACATTCACTAGCAACAACATACACAAGAAGGTGAGAGTTCCAGGCCCTTGAAATGATGGTTTAAGAAAAAAAAAAAACCACCAAAACTATAGGCCTGAAACTGCCGAATTCCACCACATCACAACAATGATCATTCACAGATTTGATTTGTCACCTCCACATGAATCTCTAGTGACAAAGTAATCCACAGCTAAAACTTCCCAGGTGAGAGAAAAAGTGCGTCCTGCCTCCCTAGGTACCTCTAAAAATCACACTTGCACTTTGAAGTCAATTGATAGTACATGAGAAACCTTCAAATTAATTTTATAACCCCTAGAGAAATGCATCCTGAAACAGGGGTTACCTTGATGAAACTACTCTCATTGCCCTGTAGCACTGCAGTAGACAACCATCGATCTTCTACATTTAACTTAATTAAAGCAAATCCTGACCGTAAAGCATACATCAGGACTAGATGGAGAAAGGGACGAAAGGACCAAATGCCTCCCAGCCTATCAAACTATTCTTTGAAAGTTTGAAAGGGGAAGAGCAATCAATACCATCCGCATTAAAATCACTCAGCCCTTCTACTATTATGCATAATTAGGATCTAGAATACAATCCATAGCAGGCACCATATATAGGTATAAAGTTACCTATTCTTACATAAATAAAAATTAAATTATTTCAAATAAGAGTTCGCTCTATCAGATGGGGAACACCAACAACTTTAAAGTGTAACGTAAGCAAACTAAATAGAAGTAAAATAACATGTAATAAGTGCTCCACAAAATTAAAAGAATATGCAGGGTGGAATAATTCAAACACAGCAAATATGGTATCTTGGTCTGCTTGAAAAAGCAGAAGGATTAGGAATACCTGGTTTACTAGAAAATACATGCAACAGTGACGCATCTACCTCCTGGTACTCCCAAACCATTTCTTTTTCATTCCTGCATTATCCTGTCCTTCTTATTATCTCTCCTAAATACACATGGCTCGTTTTTCCTTTCACTTTCAATATGTATGTGATGCTCTCTAAGTCTTGACTTTAGGGAAAAAAAAAAAAAGAAAAAGAAAAATCACCTCAGAATTACATCTCTACACCAAGAAGCACATGAAAATTAAAACTTAAAATTTAAAAGAATTTAAAGCAGCCAAATGCATACTTGTACCAACTGAGAAAGTTTTTAATGGAACAATGACATCATTTGGCTCAATTTGTTCCACCTCTCATAGAACACAAATGCCTTTTGCATACGTTCCAAGACATCAACCACAAGGGTTACTGGTGGTCTTATTTGCACGTTTTTATCCTCTGAACAAGAGCACTATCCCTGAAGTGCTGTGCAAATTTCTAGGGTTTTATCCGTAAGACAGTACAAGCACTGTGTCATCAATGAAAGAAGAAAGAGAATCTGGACAACTCTCTTCAGTGAAAAACACACACACCCCCCCCATTAGTTCATTAGCCTTAAGTAGAAGAAATCAATAAACACTTTGATTAATTAAATATAAATTAAGACAACGTTTGAAGACGCATGCTAACCACACACGTAGTTAAATTGTGCTTTACAGACAAAAACACAACTAGCAAAAAGGATTTAAAGCATAGAGGACCCCCTTTATCTGCAACGTTCTGAGGCCCCACTGAGGAACTAGGTTTTAAGGAAAACACCACCAAGTTTTTAGAAGTTATAGCAACTGAGGAACTAGGTTTTAAGGAAAACACATCAAGTTTTTAGAAGTTATAGCAAACACATGCCACGACATCTTCATCTTTCTGGCTTAAAACATTTATCCAAGAAGTTACACTCAAATTAGGTCGTTTAAAATGGCACATCTGTACGCTCTTCACAACAACTGCTTCTATTTTAATTAGAAAGACTTAAGCCCAGAGAAGCCTGAGAAGTCAGTTTGTATATCTGTAACAATCCCGAGGGGTGGAAATGTGACCAGACTCAAACCCTTAAGCTTAACAACTATTCAGTTCTCACAGCAGTGAACTCTCTCGCACTTGGGAAACGACCACCGCCGGCTCCAGCCTACCAGAGATAACAAGCAGAGACACCCGTGGTGCAGACAAAACCACGTTGCTCCCATCATTTCCGCGCCCCA